AACTCACAGATTGAACCCTGTAACAGCCTTTGGGCTGATCAATTTAGGGTTTTGAGAAGGGAGCAAAACTGGAGAAAAATCAAGGGAGCGACCTAATACACTCTACTCATGTGATGGTGAGTCCAGGAATCGAACCTGCAACCCCAGAGGTGAGAGGAAAAACGCACTACCGCTACACCACCCTTGCTTCCCATCATTGCAAAGTTGTCCGATGAAGTACCGAAAGCATACTTTTTTCATGCTTATGTCACTTCCTGCACGCTGTATCACTGAGGAGAGAAAACTTGGGGGGGAAAAATGAAAACTTTAGTTTTTCTTACCTTGACTGGGATAACAGGTTCTGGTTGCTTTGTGAAAACAATCCTTCCATCAAGAAAAGGTGGTACAATATTGTGAACCAACAAATGAACTTTTGCTTCATTTTCTTCCTCAAAGTCTTCATCCACTTCAAGCTTTTGTACAACACCACTCGTTAACATACGATTCGTCTCCCACATGTCATTGTCCTGTCGACAGAAGTACAATTTAAGATTCTTTTCGTATTCAAGCAGTGAGCACCAAAAACTATTTTCTTATAGACAGGCTGTTGTACAAGGCTAAAATCTTGTTATTCAGAAAGTTTAACTTGTTTGGAAGTGGAGATGACCAATAAAAGTGGAATCAAAGTGTTAACCCAAAGCAAAAATTTTATTCGAAAATGAGGTTTAGGCCTTCATTTGCTTATTTCCCATATATTTTCTATAAAAAAGCCTGACAAAGCAACATTCTAACACAAATGCAACAAAACATCTTCGTACAATTGAAAATACCACTTCAAACAGGCATTTTATCATAGTACATCAGTTTCTAACTGTTTAAAAATGGTTTTGAGTGTTAACCCAAAACGAAAATTGGGAACAAAACTCATATGAAAGTCTAGTTTTTGGTGCTCTTTGCCATTATTGCTCATTATTGAAAAACATTTCCTCCTAAAACAAAAATTTATGATGTAAAGGGGCAATTACACAGAGCAATTTTCTCTGCAACTTGTCTCTAGCATAATCTTAGACTTGGATATCAGGGAAAAGACGAAAAAACATTTTGGTATTACTTCACTTTAATTTGCAAACTTGCAGCAGTGATTATAGTCTCAGAATCACTGGTCACTCAACCAATCACAGCACAATAAAGTCTAATATTCAAGTCTAAAACTATACTACATTCAACAAAATATTCACCTTATTGTATTGTCTCTGCTGGGCTGAAATTCTCTTGACTGCCTTCTTAGCCAAGTTTTCTTCTTTTTTCTTGGTGTATTCCTCACTGACATCAGCAAATGGATTATGTGATTCATCGTATCCATTGTCCATGTCGTACCATGCACGATCCAACCTCTAGTTTAAAATGTTATAAAAATTTAATTGGTTAGATTAATTGACCTATAACATTGTGACGTCACAGCTTGTTTACATGGGCAAGAATGATAGGAATTTAGAAATTTTCTTTCATTCAGGATATTTAGTACAACATTTATCTATTAACCATTTTTTATTGTGATTTTATCCTCTTGCGACCATGATCCTTAGCATTAAAACAATAGATTAATTTGATGTGACGACATAGCGTTATAGGGCAATATTGTTTTATCAACTTTTTAAAGGGAGACTAGCATGAAAATCGTCCAAAATTTAATTTGGTTGAAACTTCAATGGAAAAATACAATAGCTGTTGTCACCTTCTGTTCTTCCTCCCATTCTTCTTGATCAAAGTCGTCGTCTTTACCATGTTCCTGTCTGTCTGGTGAGTTTTGGCCTTCATCTTTATTTCTTCTCCTAGCTTGAATCACAATAATGTGTGCACTTTTAGTAAGAAAGCAGTCCTGGTTATTAATATCATTGTCATCATCATCACTATCACATCATCATCACCATCATCACTATCACCATCATAATCACCATCATCATCATCGTCATCATCATCACCATCATCGTTATCACCATCATCATCACCATCATCATCATCATCACTATCGCCATCATTATCACCATCATCCTCATCGTCATCCTCATCAACATCATCATTATCACCATCATCATTATCACCATCATAATCACCATCATCCTTATCGTCATCATCATCACCATCATCATCATCACCATCATCATCATCACAATCACCATCACCATCATCACCATCATCATCATCACCATCATCATTATCACAATCACCATCACCATCATCACCATCACCATCTTAATCATAATCAAATCATAATCACCATCATTGTCATCATCATCATCACCATCATCCACTTATATCAGACTGCCTCACAAACCCTTACCTTTTCCTTTAGAAAACCTCGGTGTTGCTCCTGAGTGCCTCCTGTCATCTGCCCATGCATTATACTTGTGTGTTGGAGTAAAACGAGGTGTGTCATCAACAAGCCGAGTGTATCTAAAAATATATTAAACAATATATAACTACTACTGTATAATCATTTTATTCGCCTTAGCTTTCGATGATTACAGTCATCATCAGAGGCTATGTTCCAAGTATTATAGGATGCATGCATATTTAATTTAGCCTCTGATAATGACAGTGACCGTCAAAATTCATTTTTTATGACGAAAAAATATATAGCATTTAAGGGGGGGCACCCCAAAAATAATCAGATTTGGAAGGGGTCATACAATTTTTTAAGTACAATTCAGAAAATCCCACCAGCCCTCCTATGCCCATAAAAAATGAATGGTCCCTAATGTGACCAAGTGGATGTTGAACGGCAAGAATGAAACTCATTGCAGGTCTTTTCCAAGATAGGTCGCAGGAAAATAAGTGAAACTAAAACTAAAACTTGAACTAAACAAAAACACAACTAAACAGCACAAAATCTAGTCTCCCCAAGAGAAAGCGTTGCGTGACGACACTGAAAGTGGTTGTGGGGGAGACTACACAAAGTCTGGAGCAGAACTGATTTATTTTTCCAATTACAAATACTATTGCGTGATCACTTACATCATCATTCCAAATATGGCTAGTACAAACGTAACACAACAAACTCGAATAAATCTTCAACCAGTTTGTTTTCAACCAGTTTTCAACTTGGTTAAATGATTGTGCAGTAGTGTGTGGCCTCAGTTATCTACAAATCACACATCAACCCTACTGAATGACAACCTCATTCTCCTTTAACCTATTAAAGCCTAATATCTCACCCTTTATCTGTATCGTCTTTGATGGATCTTGTTGGTGAAGGCATTTCCCATTTGGACCTGGATGGTGACATGTCTTCGTCATCCCATGTACTTCTAGATGGTGTTCGTAAACCTCAAAGAAGTATAAATTGTACAAATGTGAATTAAGTGATTGAAAATTACTCATGTAATGTGGTTATCATTAAGCAGAGTATAGCTGCAGTGAAATGGCTTCCCATAACAATGGTTATTGTACATGTATAAGTGGGAAACATACAATACTGACTTACAGCACATACATCTATAAGTAAAATAATAAATAAATAAATAAATAAAAAATAAAAAATACACGGTACGACATGCCGTAAGATTGAAATGGCTTCCCACAAGAATGGTTATTGTATGAGTGGGAAACATATGGTACTGACTTACAGCACATACACGGTACGACATGCCGTAATAATGAAATGGCTTCCTATAAGAATGGAAATTGTATTACAATGAAACATACAGTACTGACTTACAGCACGTACAATGCTACAACATTGAAATGGCTTCATCCAATAAAAAATGCTTAGATAACATAAGATTGGGTAGAGCTCCAACACAATATTAAAAATCATGCACTCATGTGAAAACTGCTCTGCTCTATATCTGTTAGGCAACACCCAAAAAGAAAATACCTTTTGTCTTATGCTGTGGTGTGTAGTCATCCCTTTCTGTCGACCGTCTACTCCTTGATGGCGTATCTTCCCAGTCACTTCTCCTAGACCTTGGTTCTTTAAATCTCCTATCGCTCCTATCACCATACCTCCCTCTGTCATCACGTCTATCCCCACCCCTACCTCTATCTCTATCTCTATCCCTGTTCTTGTCACTTTTGTCCCTAGACTCAGCATAAACTCCCTGACCTCGTCTCTCTCTTTCTCTTTCTTGTCGTCTGAGTTGTTTCTCGCGTGCTTCGTTGCTCACTCCACCAGTATGCGATGGCGTATCCTCAATATGAGTTCTATAATGGCGCGACTTCTCCTTCTCTCGATCTCTAGATGAGAAAATTTTACCCTTGTCCTTATAATCTTCGTCATCACCATCTTCCCAATCTTCTGATTTACTCGCTAACTTTGATTTCTTTGCATCGTCTCTAAGTAACTCTTCTTTCTCTCTTCGCTTTTCTTTGGCCAGCTCTTGCAAGCCAAGTACGCTTCCTTTAGGCTTTTCAAACTTGTGTTTACTGGTAGGCTTTTTGATGATTAATCCTCCTACTGTTTCATTTGTTCCTTCGAGTCTGTCGCTAAATCCTCCTTCGAATGCAGAGGAAGACATCATAGACTCGTCCAAACAACGCAAAGATTTTTTGACTAAATTATTTTAAAAAATAAGACTATTTCCATAAAATGAGCCTGTTCAACAATCTTTAGCTATATTCCTATAGTCTATCATTCAAATTGGTTAAAATTCTCAAATTATTTGGTACAAAACAACGCAATTACGAAAATTTGACGACATTTTTGACAGAGTTTGTCAGCCATATTGGTTACCTTCAAAGCGCATGCGTACTTTGGTAATCCGCTGATGATTTTCAAAAAGCGTTCTGCAATCAATCGATAATATTTCGAGAAAATGCTTTAGCCGAGATTTCAAAAGATTTTGTAATCATAGTAAGTTGTTTTCGTTGGGTAGAAATCCCTAACTAGTAATCTTTTGTACGTACGCCAAAACGACAAATAAATATTCAGTGGAAACTAGTTTCCTCTTCAGTCCACTGTATTCGAGAATAATTCGGGTATTCGTAGTAGCTTCGGAGTAGGTTCGGTGCATGCTCAACTTTAGGAAAAGGACGGAAGGAACGTAACCGAATAAGAAAGTACAAATCTTTCACAATGGGTGAAATAGTAGAAGATGTTGGGAGCAAAAAAATCGATAGAAACTTCAAGCTTACCGTATACAGTAAACTGAACGAGCTACGACAGGAAGACATTTTCTGCGACGTGTCCTTGTCGGTCGAGGATCAAATATTTCCCGCTAACAAAATTGTATTAGCTGCAGCCAGTCCCTATTTCTTTGGCCTCTTCACGAATGATTTGCTTGAAAAGACGTCAAATGTTATCAAGATAGAAGCTCTTAGTGCTAGCATGATCCAACAGGTATTACACTACATGTATACCGGCGAGGTAATCATCGAGTTTTCCAACGCTAAAGAGATCATTATGGCAGCAGATTATTTGATGATGCAGAGTTTGAAAAGTTTGGCTAGCTCTGTTCTCCTAGAAAACCTGTCATCTCACAACTGTATTGATCTCTTTGGGTTTGGGGTCAAATATTCATGCATGGATCTCGTAACGCGGGCCTCTGACTGCATGCTTGAGAAGTTTGAGAATGCTTCGTTGTCTGAATACTTTAAAGAACTGGATTTTACAGGTCTGGAGAGTTTGATCAGTGAAGATGATCTCGAAGTTGAGAGAGAAGAACACGTTTTGAATAGAGTGCTAGATTGGGTAAAATATGATATATCAGGGCGTGAGGAGTACCTACCTCAACTTCTAAGATCTATAAGATTGTTCTCGATGTCAAAGGAATCATTGACAGAATATTTGGAAGAAGAAGATTTGATTAAGGAAAATGCTCTGTGCACTAATATCTTGAAGAAGAGTTTAGATATGCATCTTTTTCCAGATTTGGCTCTAAATTCATACCAACATCCAAGGAATTGTGTTAAGAAGAATATTATAAAGGTTGCGATAGTTGTCGGTGGGCACATTGCRAGAATGAAGTCAATTCCACGCCTGGTTGCTTATGCATTACCCAATGGTGATTGGTATGAAATAGATGCAGAAATGCAAGAGGGAAGGTCGCGCCATTGTGCTGCTGTTTGCAGAGGCTCGATATTTATCTTAGGGGGAATATCATCCATTGGCATGGAAATGATTGACATACAAGACAAAACATGGAACTCATCAATCATTAAAACCCAAGTATTTTCCTCAACAAAGCATTCAGCTATCGTATCATTTCAAGAAAAGCTTTTGCTTTTTGGTGGACAGAAATTAGAATCTAACGTTAGAGATGAATTTCTAGTTCTTAATGATGTTGGGCTATATGAGCCTCAAGAACACAAATGGAAGAAGTTGACACCCATGAGTTGTCCACGCACAGCCCACTGTGCTGTTTTAGTTGATTCATTCGTGTACGTCGTTGGTGGATGTTCAGCAGATGAAGTGTATCAATCTGGAGAAAAGTATGATATAGAGAATGACCAATGGGTACCAATTGCTGCTATGAATGAGAGAAGGTGTTATGCCGCTGGAGCAAATCTTAGAGGGAAAGTCTTTATTGCTGGAGGGTATCATGCAGATGAATGGGTGGCGTACAACAGTTGCGAACTCTACGACCCTGAAACTGATCACTGGGATATTATAACAAGCATGCCAATACCAAGAGCAGCTTGTGGTGTCGCTCAGGTGGATGATGACATATTCCTATTTGGCGGCGAATGTGATGGTACACCTAATGGCAAGCTTGACAGTGTTGTACTTTACAATAAGATAGAAGACAGTTGGAAGGAGGTAACAAAGATGCCAGTATCAAGATCATGTCTCCAAGTCTGTCTTCTCAATCTACCTAAAACTGCTCTTGTTCCCCTGCAATAAAATTGTTCTGTAGCATTGCAAAGGTACTTATTAGTAATGGAATTGACACTTGCTCAATAGACCCCTTGCAGCTCATCCCAATGCAGCTCAATTAGGAGGACATAACAATAGGTTTCCAATTCTCACGAGATTGAAATTCTTTTGTGTTGTCCTCCAAATTAAGCTGCTTTGACGTCACATGCAAGGGGTCTATTCGGAGGACATAACAATAGGTTTCCAATTCTCACGAGATTGAAATTCTTTTGTTTTGTCCTCCAAATTGAGATACTTTGACGTCATCTTTATTTTTTTATTTTAATTAAGAAAATATGGGATGTCGAGGGGACAAACATTGGAAAATTCATAGACTGTTCTGCTGTCAGGGTGTCTTTTTATATAATTTTTATGCTTTTCAATGAGAAGCACATCTAAAAAGCAATCCAATTTGATGGTAGTTGGAACAATATGCGAAACACCAAGACTTCAAATTGTTTTAAAATTGAATGCCACTCTTTATGTTTCCTGTTTGCCCCTCGGCATCCCATAATTTAAGACGACTGCTGTATCAGTTAAAAGGTGTGTATTGTACAATGACATTTTAAAATTATGTTTCCCTCACGACAGGTCAAAGACCCAAATATGTTAAAGTCATCGGTGGTGGAGCTGTTTTAAAAGTATAGTAGGTTGGATGAGGTTTGACAAATACCCAAAACGTGGAGCCCTGGATTCAGAGATCTTTCATAAGTCGAACTGCTGAAAAGTAAGGGGAGTTATTGATTTAAAACATTAGATTTTATTGTGTTAGGGGTAAATTTTTACAAGAGTGATGGCCTTGAAATGGAATATCGCAGAATGTTTTTCTGAGAAAAATATCCTTGAAGAAACACGAAATTCTTAAATTATCAAAATAGTTTTGTTGTCAAGTTGTTTAATTGTTTCATCAGTGAATCAATCTCTGGTTGGTATAGTAATGACAATAGCTTACGTCACAGCAACTAGCACTACAGTATATGACCATCACAAACATTTTATGTTCATTTTTTTATTTCTTTAACAATTAAATTTTTCTATTTTTCCATTTCTCCCTTCCTTCCTTTTTTTCTTTTCCCTTTTTCCCATTTTTTAAAGTAAACTACCCTTTAATAGCATTTTTTGATTGATGCTTAATAATAGTTATATAACATTATTACTAACAGTGCTTTCCAATCACACGCAAAGTTGCACTATTCTCACTGAATAAATTATCACCAAGCAGTATAAATCAAGTCAACACAAATGGCTCATAGCATAACATCATTTGGAGCTTCGGAAAAGAGTTTTGCCCCACCCACCCACCCCTAAGTCTGGTGGCGGTGGTGTTCTYGTTTTCCCTATTCTCGTTGTTTGCCCCATCTTCGTCGTGGATCTCGCCCCATAACTTAATCATACTGCGACGTGATAATGGCTTCAGTGAGAATATATTACAATTTTCTGTCTCAACAAAATAAGATTTTCGTGGACGTCATTCAAAGTGTTTCCATGACAATATTGAAAAAAACAAAGTTTTCAAGAGCATGTGCCTATGGAATGTCCTGAAAATGCCTTGATTGACGTCCACCAAAACTGAAATTGGGAAGCCCTGTAAAGCCTTTTTCATTGTAGAGTTAATTAGACAAAGCATGTTCTATTTCACCCAGAGCAAAGATGWTCCAGACTCATTCTCAGCTCAAGGGAGAACGAGCCAAGCTGCTTTAGCATGTAGGAGAAAAGACAAAATGCAACAGCCTTATAAACTGAATTGAAATATTGACACCCATTTGGATAATTATTGTTCTGCACAGACTGGCCTCTCATGCATGTGAAAATACTTTTGTTTCCACATCACTAGTCAGTCGCTAGTCAGGCCAGAACAATAGTCATTCAAATTGGTTGCCATATTTCGATTTGGCATATAAGGCATTCATTTTTTGTAACACTGATCAAGAAAAAGATAATATAAGATCTTAGTAGATGCTTCCATTTTCTAGATATTTCTTAATTTTTTTAAAATAAAAAGAGTTCAATTAGACTAGATTATTAACTAGAATATTCTTAACTTTTTATAATAAAAAGAATTTAATTTTCTACATTCTTGGCACAGTCTTTTTTACTATAACACTACTATGTAGTTGCGAACAAGTATAACAGTCCTTTAGCAAAATGGACAATTTCACTACCGCCAAGTTTGGATTCTCCATAAACTCTGTCGACAAATGATATTGGTACCTGCAATGAAGTAATAATATCCACAAATCATTGAAAGGTAAAGAGTCCTTAAATGGACCCATTTCATTTTCCCATTTCAGACCACGTGCCATTCTCTTGAGAATATGATCCTTCGTTTGAGTTGTAACCATATTCGTGCTCTTCTCATTTGCAACCAATAAGGGTGCTTTAACTTATTAGCGCATTGGGAGGTTGGCAAAAATTGTAAGGGGTAACGTTATTTTAAGAAAGTGGTTAGGGGGGTTATCACATATTAGAGAGTTTTAGATTGACAATTTTTTCTCCCCACAAACGGCAAATGTGACCACGTTTTCAAAGTTTTCGTGTATTTTACTTTACCTTTTACAAACCTTCTCACCAAGCGCAAATACTCTTTTGTTTTTCTACTACTTGGACTTTTTTGCGATTCGTTTTCAGTAATTTAAAAGAATTTTTTACTGGTCAGCTGACGTTTCACATTTGCCGTGAATGTAAATCTAAAACTCTCTATCGAGGAAGGTTGAGAACTATTGATTTCATTGTGAACTATAATTTTAAAAGTAGCTGATGATAGGACAGGCTGTAATTGGCCTTTTCTGAGTTCGATTCAGTACAAACAACAAACAACACCATATAAGGTGTGATGTTTGTACCGAAGCTAGATCACAATGCACCATGTTCACTATCTCAAAAAATGTCTATGCCCTTGTTGTTGGATTGTCAAGGTGGGAACCCCGTGCTGACAACCTATTACTTCCAGCCAATCAGAATGCACAGTGGCGTGCGTTGCTAATGCGCCGCCTCTCACCAATGCGGCCCGAGTTCAAGTCCTGCTGATCTTAATGTCGTATGTGAGTAGAGTCGTTTGTTGGTTCTCTCCTGTGCATCGAGGGTTTTTCTCCCTCCTCAAACATCAATTTCTAAATTCTAATTCGATCTCTGGGCTTTCACTTAGTTTGGAGTCTAGCTCTGTTGTGATTGTCCCACACTGTGATACAACAGCGAAAAGCTTTGTAGATTTTTTTTATTTAGATAACAGTCATTTCACAATTAATGTTTTTGTTCATACCTCTCCAATAGTATATCCTAACTGTCTTCCTCGTACAATCATTTCCATCTGGAAGACATAACCTTTAGAAACACAAGCGTCTACTAACTTCTGCAGCACTTCTTTTTTGTATAACCTACAATAATTTATGAGAGTTTTAATAGAGGTTTTACACCATCATGTGCCGGCACCCAAAATAGAGCTTGGGCTGCCTGTGGTAAGATGGCAGAACAATAAAATCCCTTTGCTCTTGAGAATGGAATTCTCTCTTATGTAAAATGATTGTATTGTTCCTGTCATCTAACATAGCTGCCGTCACGTGATGGTGCAAAACCTTCATAGTCCAGGGGCGGCGGAAGCTAAAAATCTTTGGGGGGGGGGGCACTGCAAAAATCTTTAGGGGGCACTGAAAATTATATTTAATGCTATGTGATAATGACAATGTTTCGTTTGATTGCAGACATATGTGCCGTAAAACAATGACTAACTAAGAACCAATATTTTTGGGGGGGGGCCAGGCCCCCCCAAAAAATTTGGTAAGGGGGGGGGCAAGTCCTTGGGAGTAATGTTTTTATATTTCAGACCACATGTCATTCTCTTGAGAATAAATTTTGTATGTTTGAGTTGTATCCATATTCATGTGTCTTCTCATGCACAACCATTAAACAAAGAAATGATACTCTAGGGAATGACATGTAGCCTGAAATGGAAAATCATTACCCCTAGGTGAAGAGGTCTATTGCAGCTCACGTCATCGCAATAAGTAATAATTTTATAATCAAGCTTTAAGATTTTGCAGTATGCCATCACCAATTGAAACTGATCATACCAGTCTATTACAGGTACAATAACATTTACCTGAAGCTTCCAGTTAAGTCTGAGGCTCCTGGTCGTAGAAGGACTTGGGTGAGATAGTTAGCTCCACGACTGTTGAAACAAATAAAAACAAGATCATTTGTAATGAATAAAGTGCACGAGGTCTTGTAAGGTTGCCCAGGTTGAACATCTTGCTAAGATCAGGCAAGGTCATGGCAACAAGTTCAACCTGGGTGGGTTCTATATTCTAATAGGATTATACGAACCAATTTTATTATTTTTACTTAAAGTTACAATAATAACCCATGTAAACTAAGATCAACTGTGATCGGCTGTGAAGATTATCTGCTGAAAGTAAACTCGTAAGTTTGTTTGTCTGAATTTCGCCTTTGTCTTTGTTTTTATGACGTCATGGCTGCACTGCGCTATTGTTTCTGGCTGACAGCACATGGTGGTCAGTGTTTGACCACCATTTGAAGCAGATAATGACATTCAAAAACTTTTATCAACTGAATGAAACCCAGCAATCCATAGTGCCGACTCCCCTTAGTTACTGTTGCTATGTCCCACAACCTCAACAATTTAGCTAGAATTTAAAACTCTGATCGTGGAAAATGGATTATAAATTGCATCAATTGTTTCATGTCCTTTAAAAATTAAAAAAAATTGCCTTTGTGGTAGACTTTAAAACAGATACTGTGTAGTTGTTTGTGGGACAAGATTTTAATTTCACTTATCAAACTTATTAATAATTTGTGAGGAAAACACGACAAAAATCATGACCGTGAAGATTTTTGTAAATCAGATACAGAATCGTGTTCATTTGCATAAACTTTAAGATGGATTTTCTTGGGCAGATTCACTTTTATCTTGAAAATTTTAGTGAAACACAAAGGAACTAACCTAGACGTTTGACAAGCAATCTACAGTATTCGTGTTTGTGTTGTATCCAGTATACAAACTCTCAGCTACGTATTAAGTACTAGAAAAGTACTGCTGTTTCTTTAATACTCATTCATATAGCATACCTTATTAGTTTTCTCTTTAAGTCCCATCCAAATACACCTCCGTCACCACTGTATCTTGTACCAGATACAATATCGTAATCTTTTTCTGCTTGTTTCCTAAAAATGCATTCAAGAAAAGTGGCATGCAGCAAAACCTTCAGCCAATCTTCCTTAAAATAGCTGTACATCTGACTGACTAGAGCGAAGTCACTAAACCCGTGCAATAGATATTAGACTAATACACATTAGGAGACCCTAATTCCATTGTTTTCTTTTGTGTCTATTTGACTAGAGTGAAGTCATTATACCTGTGCAGTAGATATTAGACTAATACACATTAGTAGACCCTAATGCCATTGTTTTCTTTTGTGTCTATTTGACTATTACATGTTGACTAGTATGTTTTATTTCACGGGTTAAATGCCTTCACTCTATTGTTGTATATAATTAGCAAAAGTAAAACAAAGAAAACTTTGTATACGACATTTGTATGTTAAATTGGTATCATTGACCTCTACTTCCAGACTCCCTTGCACACTTTTTTTTGTTCAGTTAATTAGCACCAATTGTCTTACTATTCTCATGAGGGAAAACAAATTTAAATAAGAAAAAAATTTGCAAGCATCTTGGTAGTGTTATTCGAATGACGCCATCATGCAAACGTCTTATTACGTTGACTATTCTTTCACAGACAAAAGAAAATCACTTCATATTCCCCCAGTAATACAAACGTCTATAAATTTGTCAATTTTCAACTTGTGTTCCACGGCTTAGTGCCTTATTCCTTGCTATTGTATTCCGTTACAAGCTTTATTTAACTGGAAGTGAATTACCAAGTAGATTTACCTGATAAATTCTGGTATAAACTTGGGCTGTGAATAAGAAATTTGAGAAAATATATCAGCAATCATACAAAGAYCTTTCCAGAATTTACTTACTTTCAGAGAAGGCACAACAATAGAATCTTTTCACCCTTGGGAAAGGGAATTCTTTCACATGTTAATCAGATAAGACCAGATTCAATTGTTCCTGCCTCCTGTCATGCCTGCCATCACGTGATGGTACAAAGCCTCTACTTCCAAAAATACCAACATACACCTCCCTCGTCTTAGGTTCTACCTTCTGCATTAACCTATCATTTCATAATCTTAATAGGGCATAGGAGTCATCCTGTTCTTCCACTTGGATTTGTTATTGGCTTGGTATGAACAAGATAAAAACTAATAGACAATGAATATCTTCTTAACTCAGATGAATGATAGTTTAAGAACATTTAATTACTTGATTTTTTTGACTAATTACATTTTTAAATCATCATTTTTTTATCTGCCTTTGCATAATCAAGAGTCCATAACGATATTATGACCTCTTATATCAAACTACTGATTTTTTTCCCCTGTACGTTTATTTTGTTTTATGAAATTTCTAGTTGTTCAACTATGAAAACTACTGTACTATATATGATTCTTTCCATCTTAAATATTTGTAAATATTACTCATTTTCATTTTAAGGGTGTAAGAGCTTGTTTAACCTCTGAGGTTGTTCTCTTGTACCCCCCACAATATTTATAACTTATTCAATTTATGTATGTATATATTTTTTTGTGGAAATAAAAACTTTTGTAACTGTTGTTGTAAGGGCATTTCGAGTGGAATATCTGGCCCAGCCTTAACCTTCTTCCATCATCTTTTAATCAATATTGTGTGGGAAGAGTATGGAAGAAAGAGAAATTAAAAAGTTAGAACAGTAATAGCTTACGTGATGTGACAAGTCAGCATCCATTATGATGATAAAATCCCCTGTTGCATGCTTCATCCCATGGATGTATGCCGTGCCTAGATTTAACAAAATGAAAAATGAGAAAAAAGGATAGTAGAAGGAAAGGGAAAGAAAAGCTAATGGTAGGAAAGGGGAGAGAAGAAAATGAAATTAAACAAAGTCAAAAATCACACTAATATTGTTTATCATTCATTATAAAATAACAGTTCTAAATCCCACGTTCTGATTGGTTGGGAGCACGTGCTTTATGAGAGCACACAGCACGCTCGCGTAGTTTCAACATCCTTGCAATTTGTATTTTATAAAAGAAATAAAAAACTTGCTTTCTGTGCTGTGTGGAGTAATAAAGCACTCAAGAAAATTAATGTTGAGAAGCACTTCGCTATGCGTTGTGCTTCTCCTAACACTTCTCTTGTGTTCTGTTAACCCTGCGTGCTTTATAACTGCACACAGTACGCACGCATTTTATATTTCTTCATTATTATATATCATGCAGGACATTAAAGTAGGAAAACAATATGAACACCTTGAGCTAAATAAATTGAATCTTACCTAAACCTAGCTTTCTTTCTCTTGGTCTTAAAACCTGCAGATTGGATAATTCAGAAGATTTAATTTTGATAATGCAATTTTAGAACATGATATGCTTGCTAATAATGTGATTAAATTGACACTTAGAAGTGTAGGATCCTGGGGGGGTGGGTACTCCCCTATATTCGCTATACTGGGACGTGCCGCCAAACAGGGTATGGTTTTCAGCGTTTCTACTCTGGAACAGAGTATATAAAATCG